GGGATTAAACGCTCCTCACCTGTTAAGTGTTTGACCGAGAGTTGCCTCCTTCCTTTTCTGGCCCAGTGCTGTTCTTTTCTACTTTGCGCCAATCAAACTGAAGGTCACATCGCTATAAAAAGTAAACGATGTATACCGCAAGTGTGCACCGGGCGCTAAGTAAACCCTTCTCCTAGAAAATCTTAGATTACATATTACATGAGTCAAGCATAACGGAACTGGAATTGAAGATACCTATCAGTATCAAGCTTTATTTTATTTTAATTCATTCATTTCTACATGTTATTTTGAGAAAATTTATGCTAAACATTTTAACAAGTTTTATTGATTACTGAGCGTAATCCATGGGTTTTGTAATGTTTACTTTCATTTTAGGTAATTATACAAATTGTATGTTTTGCATCTTTCGATGTATACTTTTATCGATACGCTGCAATAACTGGACTGATTATTGCTGCGCTGGTATTGATTATTATTATGTTAATATCCAGGCAGTCAAAGGTAATTTATTTACAATTTCTATTTCTGCTATTTAAATAGAAAAGTAAATAGTGTATCTTACTATATCAGTAAATAGTAAAAGTATGTGTAAAAGTTCAAGAAAGTTGAAAAAATACGAAGAGGTAGCATGTAAAGAGGAGATTTTAAAAATATTTTGTATATGACCATAATACAAAAAAAATGACTTTCAAACTTATGAAAGTTGAATTTAAGTTTAGACGGAAAATTGTCAGGACGCGAAATTTTTAGACATAGGTACTACACGTTTAGAGTCGTCAAATATTTCACCATTTCGCACATTTTTATCGAATTTTTATCCTTGGATATTAAAACCTGTTTATACTGTTACAGAAATTCCTTGATGTACTCAGAGCCTTCCAATTTTTAGAGTAAATCAATATTGTCTATTAGGTACTCTTGAAAATTACCGTTTTTTATCTTGTGCGTCTCAGATTATTTACAGCAGCACTGCAATCAATGAGTGACTACAACTTAAAACTAGTAAAAAAGTTTTATTTCCGTAATCATAAGGTCGTCAATCCTAAGACTGGTTGGACATGCACCTCCACTCTTTCCTATCCTGAGTTAATTTTCGTATTTCCCCAAAACTAGAACACCCCACACCCTTAACTATTTGTAAACCATAATCTAATATGTTTCTAACTAGCCCTTCATGCAGGTGAAGAGTCCTCTGCTCTCCTATTCTTTCCAATACCTCTTCATTTCTAACCTTCTCTATCCACGTTATCACCATCTTATTCATACCAGTATTTTTGTTGTTTTACTGTTATTTATTTTTATACAATACCGTTTTGCCAATACCGCATCCATTTTATTTAATCCTATCCCTAACTGTTCCTTGGCTCCTTGGTAGATGCTAATACTGCTATATCATCTGCAAATCTAAGCATACTAATTCTTCGCTCCTGTATATCTATCCCTATAGTTGTCCTGTCTTCAATGATGTTGATCGCGTCTTCGATATGTAGAGTATAAACTCAAAAGTAACGGTGACAGTGTCCATCCTTGTCTAACTCTCTTTCTCATACATATTTACTCAAAACATATAAGTTTTACTTTTTATTGCCTACATCTGACTAGAAAACATTTGAATCTAAAGGTACTCTTTAATATTACAGTGGGACATAACTAGCTGCAGTTTTTTACCTTTCGTAGGAGTAGTGGCTCTCCTATTGGCTACTGCGTATTTTTTTATTATTAATCTGATGAAGAATTCGTATGAATTTTACATTATCTTCAGTGGTGTTGGAGCAGCTATATATTGCATGGTATTTAATTGCACTCTTTTATTTGCTTTTTATATTAAATTAATTTTGATTTTAGCTGCATATATTCATGATACAGATTATTATGGCTTACAAGAAATATCAGATAGGTGCAGAAGATTATCTACCGGTAATCGTATATTTTTACATTTTGGATGTTAGAAGATTTATCGGTGTTGATTGAATGTATTAATAAGTATTTTGAGATTTATAAATGGTTCATTTTGACTATGCTTTATTGCTGATTTACAAGAATGTGCAAAACAATTAGGTACTATCTTGACGCTGAATGATCTCTAAGCTTAATTAACTAATCTGCAATGTTTGCTTGATTATCTACGTATTTATTTAACAAACTAATATGTGTTATAAGATAATTATTTTTAAACTGTTTTATACTAACTGTTTTAGTTTACTTAAAACTGTAACACCAATATAACAAAGGGGTGTTGAATCCGTTCGCAATACTGTTTGTATTCTTAAGGCAAATTTTGCCTATCCACAGATAATATAAATTCGACAATAAGAGCATTAGACGAAAATGTTCGTCGCAGTTCATATGAATTATTTTTTCTCTTAATTCTACGTAGTACGAAAGTACCGCATAATCTTCTAATTTTCTAAGTCAACATTAAATTGCGATATCACAACATCGCTGATTGGAAACATCCCCTTCCTTTTTGAAATAGGCTAAAAATAAATGACTTATTTACTTAATAATAAAATTTCATGTACACATTGCTTTGTTAAGGCAGTACAATAATCTGCAAACATCTTTAACCGCCGAAGGTTTGAAAAGCTCAATATCCAAAATAGACATCAGAAAAAGCAAAAATGAAAATCTGATTTTAATTTTAAACCGTCGGTGACTCGGCAAATAACGACTCCTATTTAGAAGGAAATGTTTGTTTGTCCAAAAGTTTCGACGTGTTTGAAAATACAGGACCTGTTTGTTTTGTTCTCATGCATTGTTTGTTATTTGTTATATTAGATTAAGTATTATTAACGCTGTTTATGTTACACTTTATATGCATGTAATTAGTCGAAGTCATTGGCAGTGTGTTAGTGTCGTAGGTCAGTGCAGAATAGTACAATAGTATTGTATTGACTATAATACGTTAGACTGGACTTAAGGATCCTGTACCTTGGCGGACACGTAGTCCTCGTCTACANCGCGAACAGTCAATTTAGAAATTCGAAAAATATTGTTAAAGGTGAATGTTTGGAGCGCGGGGCTGTACGGGTGCGATACATGGACGGTGGAGCGGTGGAAAATAAAAGGTTAGAAAATCGTTTCAAATGTGGCGTTACAGGCGAATGACGAGGATACCGTGGATAAAGAAAGTTAGAACTGAAGATGTATTAGAAAAAGTAAGAGAACAGGGGACTATGAAAGTCAATAAGAAATAGGCGAGATAGGTTAGTACGAAGTTAGGAGGAGTAGAGGTAGACCTAGATTAGATTACTGTTTGCAAATAGTTTAGGATATGCGTTGTGTAAGTTTTAAGGAAATGCGAAGATTAACTCAGGATAGGAAAATGTGGAAGTGTTACCAGTCTTGTAACTGATGACCTTATGATGATGTCTCAAGGTAGTTATTTCCTTAGTCTCTTTCAATTGGCGAAAAACCGTGTTTTAACCGGTTTCCGCATTTTTTTCTCTTTAATTGTTATTACCTTCGAAAACAATAAAACCAAGATTAGTACCTTAGCGAACACCGCTAAGAAAATTTTTCACAAGTAACTAGTTGAAAATATATAGTGTGGCGGATAATAACACTGCTATATTTAATTTAAAACATATATTTGACTAAACATTATATTAGACCCTTTTGTAAATATTTCTACTCGAATTCTTTTGTATCTGTCTTTCGATTATTATTATTCTCTGTGAAAATATTTGGAACAGTGTATTCAAATTGTTTTGTATTCAATTCTATCGCTATCAATAAATTTTATTACATGTACTTTCCAGTAATCCCTATTAATATTTCAGCTTCGCGTACTAACTGCATGCCGTCCGTAGTTGGCTTCCTTTCCTAGTTACAATTTTACGATGGACTTTCTTCGGTGATTTGGGACTCATTCTACTTATTAGTATTTGTTATCTTCAGAACTTATTAGGTACTACCCTATTAGTACCCTACTTTCATTAACCAAATATTAGTTCCACCTTCATATTTCTTTTCAATAAACTTTTTCTTTGATAATTTAGACAGTTCGTTCCGAATCTCTCGTTCTTCAAGTAGCAATTCTTTAGTTCTACAAGTTGTTAGATTAATTGTTATTGTTGTTGTTATTCGTTATATAGTTTTATTTTCTAACTCCGCGCTAGCTAAAACAGTAT